GAAGAAGGGTTTCGCCGGGGTTTCCTTGCCCGGCTGCAAAATGCTTCTGCGTCTGATTTTGTCGAGAAGGATTTATCTGCGGGAACAGCTAACATTAGCACCTTTCTGTTCCAGATAAGAATATCAAATTATATTCCCAAAACCACCTCTTCTCCCTCCCTCTTAGGATAAGAGAAAACTCACACATAGCCCCTGCAAAGCCGGTAATCTGCTCCCTACAATCATCCCAATTGGTAAACACCCCCGTTTTCTTCCCCTTCCTAACCGCATAATATTTCTGCGCTGCGCCTGCCCCTCCCTTATCATTCACCTCTCCTTCTCCCTGATCAGCAAGCTTTCTCTTCCTCGTAGCTGGAGGCATTTTCGACTTTCCCAAATGTATCGAGCGTCTTAAATATCCCAACTTTCCAAGCCCAAACTTCCCCTCTCTCAAAATCCTCTTTCGTTTCTTCTTAAGAGGATTGAAAACGTCTAGCAACCTCTTATTCTTGTTCTTATTTTGATTACTGTTCTTATTCCTCTCTTGATTCCTCTTTTTATCCTTCTTCTTCTTCTTATTCTTCTTCTTTTTAACCCCTCTCACAACACGAACCTGTGCCCTCTCAACAAAAGTATCTAACCCAAGAAAAAGTTTCCGATACAAACTTCTCGTAGATACAGACGCAGACTCAGAATCCAACCGATGACACGAGAAACCAAAAGATCTTGCTCGGGTTCGAAACAGTTCGCAAAGAAAAGGACTAGAAATCTTTATCTGTAACAGACACCCAATCCAATCAGTCCAGTCCAATCCAGTAAAATCAATCAATCAATCAGCACCAGAAAAAGTACGCGCGACCCCAAACAAACAAAAAACCCCAAAGCACAAAATAAAACGAAACAAAGACCAAAGAAAATGAGTTTTGTCCAACGCTGCTAGATGCGGCCAGAGTCAAGAGGAGGTAAAAGAGATAGATAGGTGTCAAGGGAAGTCTTCATAGGTACCTAGGGAAGAGCAAACGAATGAATCCTCTCCACGAGAAGAGCTACCAAATCCGCAAACCAAAAAAGCATACTACCACAGAAGAAAACACAACAAACATACACATACCGTACGAATTGAACGTAGTCACCCTCCTCGCAGACCCTCAAAAAGCATACCTACAGCAGGTAGGTAGGTAGTATCCAGAATAATCGTAATCGTAATCGTACGTAGGTAGGTAGCAAAGCACCTCAAACGAAACCAATCCAAAACCAAAAAAAAAACAAACAAACAAACAAACAAACAAAATGAATGTGCAGACAGATAGACAGATAGATATCCAAATATGCAAATATCCTCAAAGCAGTAGGTGGGTACTAGTAGTACAAGATATTTGACTGTTACAATTTATTTTACAAACTTATATTTTACAGTGCAAACATGCAAGGATCCATCAAAAGTTCAAGGTGATGCACCCCACGCGGGGAAGCGCACCAGGCGGTCCCGATGAAATAAACATGAGGTTGTTGCAAGGCTGTTCGATTTGGTCACCAGTGACCACCCACTTTATTCAAATCGTCTTAGCGGTGCTAATGATGAGATCATACCTGTGTTATCATTATCAAAATCTAGTAACTACCATTTCATTAATACAGAGTAAATTCATCTACCCTCATCATCCTAACGGTGGATCATAAAATCCCTTGATTTTTATTCGTCCGGTTTTGCTCGTGAAATATTTCTATTCTCTAATTCCATCTCGCTGTACAAAAAGTATTCTCTGATCTTCCATCTATTGTAATCTTCCCTTTAAAATGCAAGACCAAAGCCCTCTTCTGGGAATTTCCCTCTGAAGTGCACGCTCAAGCAATCCCTCCATTGCTTGTATTCCATCTTACTATAAAAGTATAACCCATTCTTGTGCACAAGCCAAACACATTCATCACCCCATTTCTCCCCCCCCTGATACCAGTTCCCAATCTCCCAATTGTTGTTACATATCATTCCCAAAATCAACCCTTGAAAACTCCCCAATTTGTAAATTAGACCTCGCTATGCAATGTAATGCAAACCCATCCCAGATGATATAAACTCCGAAGTCCCATATTTTACATTTCTGCTCGTCTTCTAACTTTCCTCACTGTGACATAGACAATCGAATCTTTAATTGCCCTTCTCCGTTTCTTTCCTTGGCTTATAGCCTGGCAGCTCATCAAACCACTCTCCTTGTTCATTGTATTTGTATGCATGGAACTCAATACCGTAGGGTTTTGGTTCGATGGCATAAAGCATCCCCAAAGGTACATCCAAATCGGCAATATCATCTCTGGTGAGATCCATGAAATATGCCATCAAAACTCGAGCAACGGATCGGTGTCCAATGATAAGGACATGGTCTGTAATACGTTCAAGCTCTCGGACCATATCCCTAAGTCGACTGATAACCTGCAAATAACCTTCACCTCCAACTCCAGGGTATATGTAGTGCAATTTATCCTTGGCTCGCTTCCCGTACTCGTCGGGAAAGCGTGATTCAATTTCCTTGTAGGTCAGTCCTTCGAAAGCGCCCGCATTCAGTTCATTCAACATTTCCCAGTTCTTCACGTCGTAATCTTCATCCTGCTCAAAGTGCTCTGCCGTTTGGATACTTCGCTTGAGCATTGAAGTCCATACACAAAAGTTCTTTTCATCCAATTCTCCCATGATGTCTGGATAGGGTGGTGTTCTGACTGCTTCGCCTCCCGGGGGATATTTTGCACTCTCAATGGCAGATTGTTGTTGCTCGAGAAGCCATCGTCTTCGACGGTCTGTGATGAAGTTATGAAGAACTTGAGCATATTTTTGTCCTTCCGGGGTGAGATCAGAATCACCACCAAGTTTGCCAATCGCTTTATCGTTGGATTTTCCATGTCGTGTAATCCAAATTTGTCTTGGGGAAAGGTTGAATGTCGACTAATACGAAGCTATGCCTCCTGTTAAGAAACCCTTGAGTTGATAATGAACAACCTTTCGTCCGACATCTATCATTTTGATGTACTGCATATGATTATCTTCTTCGTATTTCCCTAAAGGAACGTATGCACTTTCATAAGCAGCGACACGTAATTTGAAGTCTCTCAAAGAGGCTTCTGGATCCTTATCTTTGTAGTCAGGTCCTCGGAGCTTCAAGCGCATGTTTGCCTCGAGCAGCTAGAAAGATGGTTAGTGAATTGGATCCTCAGAACAAAATGACATACGTACACTTTCATCCTCGCAAACACTCTCTATGAAGAGGATACCGAGTTTTGGCTCTCTCTCCTTAACGTGATTAAAAAGGTGTCTGCGACGTTCAATGGTACTGTTTGTAGCATCCAGGATACCAACAGCGCCGCTTCCTAGCAAGAGGAAATCTAAGAGCTCGTCCAAGGTGTCCATTGCTACCTGCTCTCTGATTGCGGCCGCCTTAGAATTCATAGGATCAAAGAAATTGGCAGATTGATCCATTCTTCCCGGATCAGGCAATTCGCCGGGTGAAGAAATTTTCTTCAAGTCAAGACCTTTGGTTTCCTGGTCCTGTTGAGTTGGATCTACACCATTTAGAATCATGTGGGCAGCTTGCGTCGGTGCATCTATTTTTCCGACAATTGAGCCTGTGCGAATTGACTGGCTTGAAACAGATGGACGATGAGCTGATTCTTGAACTTTCGGTGGTGTACCATTTGATCGCTGTGGTTTTCCAACTGCAACACGTCGTCGATTGCCAACATTGAAAATCCTAGTCTCATGTTGCTGCCATGACAAATATCGCTGTATTTTCTTTGTAATATATGATTTTCCACGAGCAGGCAATCCTACCATAATAACCACCAATTTCGAAGCGACATCTCGTTGTGCAATTTTCCCGTCAGGAGAAACGCGAGATCTGGTCATGCCAGGAATGTTGAGGGTTGTAGCAGGGGCTCGAACTCGGGGAGTGGTGGTGCCAGAATTCTGTCGTAGTGGAAGACTGCGATCGTCAGTGTTGAGGTTCAACTAGAAAATTTGTTGAGATTTTTGCGCCCAGCTAATTTCGTGTACATTCTTCATGATGCTGTCCATCGATCGCGAAGGGATTGATGGGAATAGAGATAGACTCACATTCTTGGACTGCTTTGAGCAGTTGAAGGTCCACTTGGGAGGGGTGTGTCGGAGAGAGGGTGACCAACTCCATCGGTGACTCCATCGCTAGACATTCCGGCTTTTTCGTGAAAACTTCGAGTTAAAACTGCAGGTATAGCAGGTGGAGGAAGTGTGAGATAATTATCGGATTGTGGTTTGCAAACTGCAAAATCGCGTTCGAGGATGAGGTTACCAGGAATTGTACTGAGGGGTTGAGAAGAAGATTTGTGTGGGTTCATTGTGCGATAGTTAAAAACCGCCGCTTTCGCGATCTGAGAGAGCTGGGACTGACGTCGATAGTCCGCTGCAAGTGGGACGTTAGTGGATACAGAATTCGTGGGATTTTATGGAAAAAGGTGGATAGCGTACACGCCAAATGGTCCTGGGGCTCTGCATGAATGGCTGAAGGCATTTAAGTGGGAAGACTTTCCTCCAGCTGCTCCAATTTTCGAAGGAAATTGACCTAAATTTATCCAATTAGATTTTTTTAACTTTCAGTAGTTTAGAGTCTAAAAGGAACTATGTCGGTATTTCCAGGGTTTTGGAAGGTGCATGCTAACCTTTTCCTCTTTTTCTCACACTAATTGATAACAGCGCTTGTAGTAGTACTCTGTAGTAAGAGAGCTTTCTCGGCCACCTGCGAGGGCGGAAAGCAGGAAGATTGACAATCTGAGTCGATCTGAGTCACGTAAACTGAGTCGTATTGAAAAGAGTTGGTATGAAATTTCGATGAGTAAGAATTCGAAATCAAAAGAGAATAGAACTGGGAAGTTATGATAATCTTTGAAAGGTATAGGGGCAGAGGTGGTAGAAGAGAGGAAGTAGTAAAGTATCGAGTAGAGTAGAGTAGGAAAGAGGAAGTAGAAGTAGTAGTCGTAGTCGCAGTCGTAGTCTTAGTGCTGCTGCAGTGGTATTGTAGTATTAATCAAATCGAAACTAAGAAATCCAATCTCCTCCTTCTAGACAGCAATCGAAAAGTATAATTATGTGGGATGAGGGGTAAGGTGGTAGTTATTATGTTGCTAATGTACAGCCAAATTGACGATTCTACTCAATTCTCGAAGTTGAGTTTGTTGAGCAATGACCTCAATATCAAATCCAAACTGGAGCTCCGAAATCCGAATGGAGTGCTGAAGCATGTAAATCCGCCGCGATAAGACTTCTGGAAGCCTATCAGTCAAACACTCTGCGCACTAGTCCGGCCTTGGTAGTCTTGGAAATGCAGGGCAAAGAAACAGAACAGGGATAAATAAAAATATGAGGCTAAATGAGATAGACAGGTCGAATGGACAATGGAACTTTGTCTTGTTGTGAGGCGAGGCGAGAGATGGATCTTAGTGGAAGTTTTAACTTTCTCTGGGGTTGTTGGTTAGAAGACTTTTGATCTATATCTGCGCGACCTTTCTTGATGATGATGTAGATAGGTAGGTAGGTAGGTAGGTAAGTGTACACAGATATGAGTAGTGGCAACGTTATACGTAGGTTGTGCGACAGTCTGATGACTCGAATTCTAAGATGTTGTGATGATTTACTAGGTAGCTGTCGGGCTTGATGCTCCGAAAGCTATGGGGTGCGTATTATGATGAATGCGATTTGGTAGATGACAGAGCCTCCAAGTAGAAGTAGGTTACGGTTATTATGTTCATCAATTAATCATTAATAAGAAGATATCCCCCATCACATCCCACACAATAAACTATAGCCTTACATTCAAAAAAGGTTCCCGTTTCAAAATTTGGTAGCACCAGTACACAATATTCCATTCCCCCCGCCCGCCCCAGAAAAGTATCAATGGAGCAATGAATGAATAGCTGAAAGGTTATTGCGGCTTATCGCAAAAAAAAAGAGACAAACAAAAAACGGAACAAAAGAGATTCATCTACTCCCAGTCAACTGTTCCTTCTGTCCTTTACGACCATTCAGTCCTCATGATCGATCTTACATATCCACCCCCATCTCCGGGAAGGGAAATCTATGGGGTTAGGGTACACTGCATTAAAACGATCCACAGGCTGAAAAATAGTCCATCACACCCAAGAATTTCCTTTGTACGGAGGATTAATATTTAATTAATTTAGCATTGGTGGAATATGTTCCAAGGACACAAAGCGTGTCTTCTGCGAACCATTTCATAGGTTCAGACGCCAAAAAAGGGATGCAAGGTTTAAAATGACACCCGCATTCTCAGATTCAAAAGTTCTCAGCCATGCTGTGATTGATTTGTGATAAGCATCGCAGCGCATCGCATCGATATCCACAATCCGCAATCCACAATCCAAGAATACGACTTACTGTGCAGAGTACATAGTACATACATACATACTACCTATGGTTTCAAATGGGAAAATATGGTATTTCCTTTTTGTTGAGAGATAAGGAAGTTCCCTAATTGCGAGTTTCTAATTTTAATACCACCAAGTAGCATCGTGAAATTAGAAACAATTATGTTTCGTTGCCCAGATTCTTGTCCGCAGTCAAGAGTCTCAGACGAACTACCGTGAGACTTCAGGTGTGAGGGCTAGCCTTGACATACTAGGTACATTATTATTCATGAATGATATTCTAAGATGGTTTTTGGGGTAAGATATTAGCATAGCATAGCATAGGTAGCGTAGCATACATAGCTTAGCATCGCATTGCAGCCAAATGTATCTTCTTGCGCAAGGTAAAGTTATTATACATGAATGAAAATGGTTAGTTCCTTCCTCGGCATTCAACTGCCTCAAAACTTTATCTCTGAGCTTAATATCCTTTTGCCCAGCCCAATCAAATCACTACATCAACATCATCTCAACAGCCCCCATTTTCCACAACTTCTCTAAACATACAAATATGGATCTTCATCTTGGTGCGGGAATTTGTAGCAGATCAAATCAGTATCTTACCATCTGCATACCAGAGGCATCTAACCAAGCGGATGCCCGGACCGGACTTGGCATGTTCTTCAAACCTAGATGGCCGAACAGCCAAGACGGAGACGGTTGAAAAATGACCGTGTCCTTGATGTAATCTTACGACAAAATGTCAAAAACATATTGATATTGTCGATAGTCTTGTGAAGAGACATTCGTTTCTGCCAATGTCAATTTCGTCTCGGCGAACTCAAAAATCCGGAATTCGACGTCAAAGGAGACACATTGAAGGTCGCATATCATATATTGGCAATCAAAGCCAAGGCCAACACAAACCGGAATTTCCGTGATAAAAGTTGTCTCTCGCTTTTATTTGCGAGAGAAAAGGCGGAAGAACTTCGTAGCCTCGTATGTGATAGTGGGTTCACGTTACATTCACAGATCTTTATGGCTTGACCTCTGAGTTCTTATCCGGAACTTACAATGCAACACATCAGTCACGGCACTGTCATGTGTGACCATTACAGATGCTTCTTTCTCTCCATTCAGCCTTGTGTTTACTTGTCAAATAACTTACAATAAGCCGTCAAGGATAGTCACCTTGACTAGACTTTGTGGAGGTGCGCACAACATACTCCATGATCACCATCGTCATCAGTATTACTTCAGTCCAGTAGTCGGTGTTGAATTGGAGTTATTGAGCTTGCATTAATTGAGACTGGTGTACAAATTGCAACTTTCCGGCCCTCATCAACGACGAGTCGGGAGGCGTTCGAAAGGATCAAACTTCAGTTTGTTATTTTAGCTCGCCGAAAAGAATGTGGGGAACCATGGTGAGATCTGGCGATCTAACACTTTGAAACCCCAAAACCTGACTCCGGGGACTCCGAGGCTACGTGTGGAGTTTGGGAATACAGTAGATGAATCTTCTGTATAGTACAAAATCTGCCATACTCGGAAACGAAAAGAGTACCTCCATAGTAGTCTTCCGGTTGCACTTGGTTGAGTATTCGGTTGGGAAAAAGTGAAGTGATGATGGTTCAAAACTTGCACCACCTTTCGAATATGGAAGTTTTAGGCACATCTTTATTCGTATGACACCTTACCTATCTACATGTACGAATTTGTCGTGTGCTTCAATATTTCATGGGATGATTATTAGAATTAGGGTAACAGAAATTTACGAGTTGTACGAAGCTTAAGTATGCTTTAACACTCGGGTCCGGTTCTTTTTGACTCCAATCTCATCTCACATCACATCACATCAGCTCTTACAAATGTACTTGCAATCTCACCAAGAGGTTTGAGAAAGAAGGGAAGTGCTCTTGGTTAGGCCTGAATTTCAACATCATATACATCAATCTCTCAAACATCAAAGAATACTCACATAGCAGTCTACGGGGATATGAACATTGCAGTCGCGAAACGAACACTCCATGGAGATAGCAATAAATCCATGAATACCATCTAGTTATTTGGGTAATACTCTAAAAACATTTGATTGGCGTAAGTGATTATTCATGACAGCTCTGATGTCAAGAAAACCATCCATCTAAAGTTAATATCTGTTATGGTCACTTAGCATAGAATATATCACCTATCTTCTTGTCTTTCTCTGTCCAATCCCCAGAAGCCAGGCCTTAAATCATATTCTCTTTTCTAGAGAAAAACTTACCAGCATATGAAATCCGGCTCAGCTCAATAGCTCAAAGATTGAAAAGCAGATGTAAGACTAGCAAACAGAAAAGAACCAACAACACTTAATAATGCAATTTAGCATAGATGTTAAGTATCTCTCAATATATATATCAAGCATAGCTTACTGGACAGGCTCTGATATTGAACGCAAAGACCATTTCCGACCCTGCTGGCGTCACATATACTCGCACTCGAGACGAAGCAAAACAAATTCTCCTGTCATGAATATTTATAGAGGCAGGAGATAGTATGGGGAGGTGTATCACGCATAAGCGTCGTCCAGATAGTGATGAATTCTCAAGTCGAATATACTAGAATGATGATGATTAAAGAGAGCATTGTTCCCTGCAATATCCCTGGGTATAAGTGACTCTGGAAATGGATAGTTGTAAGACTAGTTCTATGGTGGCATGTGCAGAGGTTGAAAAATGACTACGAGATTTAAAGGCAAAGAGTGGTGATTTTTCAGGAACAGTTTGAGTGCGGCGCTGTATATCACTATTACTGTATTGTCCTGCAATTTTAAAAGGAAGGGTTTTAGAGGTTATAAATAAAGATGATCGGCAATACATTAGATTATGATGACATCCACCTGCACCCGGGCTCTGTAATTTCGCAACGTGCTTCAGTTTTATGGATATATGTAGAGATTTCCTTTATATATTTAATAAGTACAGAATGTATAGTAGTATGTCAACATAAAACCCAAGTGTCTAGCTTTTATTAACCAGTTCAAAAAGCTTAGTCGGAATAATAATAGTCCCAATCACAAGTATCGATAACATCCCCACTGCTCGTCGGACCGTCGTCATCCCAACCATAGTTTCGATGAGGAGGGGGGACATAATTCCACTCATCCAAACTCCTATTCTGCTCTTCGCTCCACGAAGCTACCGTCCTATCTGGGCCCTGGGGCTAGTACCCCAGTTCCTGAGACCCCTCAACGCGCTTCTTGATTTCGTTATCAACCAGATCTCGCTTGCCACCCATCAGTATTCAAACCGGTATCCGCTCCACATCTTAGGGGGGTCCTGTATATCCCGCACACAATAGGAGAGAATTCTCGTTACGGATTGGTCGCTCTTCGGACACTTCACATTGAGCATTGAACAATTAATCCCCCTTTTTCCCTTATGCTAGTTTCCAGCTCGCAAGTTCGCGGCTAGATAGTCCATTTTTCTTAATACTTTCGCTAGATCATTTAGATAATTATTTCTTAGCTGGAACTTGTTGTCTTTCTTGTGGTATTCTGTGTAAATTGGATATCTTCTACTTCTTCCTTTGTAATGGCACGCGAAAAAGTGCAAATAATGCAAATAATGCATCTGAACTATTACGAATGTTGAAAATAAAACTTTGGGGATCTTGGGGTCTTGGGGGATATTTCTTTAGTGTTTGTTTTGGATACTAGTTACTAGTTGTGTTGAATGCTTGAGCCTTGTGAATCTAGCATGTGTATATCGATGAGATAGAATAGATGTGTATGCTCGGGTTCGAATCCCTGGTTTCGATTAGAAGGGTGAGGATGGGAAGTGAGCTTTCGCGATAGAGCTTTATGCCTTTGAGATCGATGTATATAGTTGGCTTGTATGGTTTTGGTGACAGCGTTTCAAATCTCCCACCCTCATCCTCTCCCATTCTATCCTAGACCCAGGATGGAGGCCCTATATCCTATCGATATTGTAAATATCCTCATTCTGTTTATTCTTTAAAAAAGTGATATTTATTCTATTTTGAATAAGAGGATATAGGTGATATTATGCGAGATATAAAATAAAGTACTTACTGTTTTGTTAATCTCAATTATAAAAATTATAACAATTTTTCAATTTTTCAATTTTTTTCCATTCTATCCTAAACCCTATAAATCCTAATATATACTCAATTTTCTTTTTATATCCTTATCTTGCTTATCCTTCAAATTGAAACCCATTCTGCCTATCCTAAATTCAAGGATAGGATAGGATGGGAGATTTGAAACGTTGTTTGGTGATGCATGGCGTAAGATGAGCTAGTCGACTAGATTGCTGATTTGCTTTGTTGTGTTGATAATCTCTGTCTTGATATCTCTTATACTTATGATAAGTTTATTCCAAGGTTTTTTTTTTAGAATATATACTTGGGATTTATGTGTATATATACTCTTATATCTTTTCTTCTTTTTGTTTAGAGTCTTTATATAGATATTGTGACGGAAATCCCTGCTTTCCTCCCACCCTTATTATATAAGAAACCTCAGGTACATTAACCATGTCCACACATGATACGATTACTCGAGATTAGTATGCGATTTAGGTGACCTGAGGATCAGATCCGGACAAGTACTAGGTATCAATGGTTATCGGTAAAGTAAGATCATTGGAGGAATAAATATGACTTCTTTTTGCCTAGCTATTGCGGCTAGGCCATTCATTTGTGTATATATAGAGTAGCTATCCCCATCTACAGGTGCTCTTCACCTGTAGATTCTAAGTTAAATACAATTGCTGGTCTATAAACACCCTTTTGGTCACAGATATGAAATGAAATCTTTTGTTAATTATCTTACTGTTATATTATTCATGTGCACATATTAAAATATTGACATTATACCATCAAGGCAGAGGACGATTATCTTAAACTAAACAGATAGCGATAAAGCAATATTGTTATTTCCGATTTCCTCATTTTGTAATCATAATTCATTGTATTTCTCATTAACCACGAATTCCATCGAAGTAGGGATGGAAAATTTTTTAATTACCTAAAGTATAATAATCTAGCTTTCTTTATTATAATATAATTTTTTTAATATTTCTTTTTTGTAAAAAAAAAAAAAAAAAAAAAACTGATCAAAATATATGATTGAAAAAATTGAAAAGAATTGTTAAAAGGAATAGAAGTTACCGGTACTAATCACGTGTCGTGATTAGTAATACGGTTACCTAAACAGGCTAGATTAGACGAACCATAAGCAGGCATATTGGTCCCCTCAGAGGATACCAAGAGGAGATTAATATGCCTACACGCGTAGTAATATAATCAATATAGAGGCCTCTTCCACCCAATCTTTTAATAAGAATTTATATTGTTTGTTACACTTAAGAATACTGGGTAAAGTATCTTGTATTAGAAAATACTAAACTAAGGAGAAAAGAAGAAGGAAAACAAAAGTAGTGAGTTTTCCTATGATTAAATACAAACGGGGCATGCCACGTGACCCGAAGGTGTGAGGCGTCACATATATATGATTTATAAATAAATTTTCAAAGCTTAAAAATATTAAATAATATTTCAATAAAAATTATTAAAAATAAACTATAAAAGACTTTCAAATTTTTTAATCAAAAAGTATATATGTGACGCCTCACACCTTCGGGTCATGTGGCATGCCCCGTTTGTATTTAGTCACAGGGAAAACTCTCTACTCTTGTTGGGATGCGAAGACTCAACAACGTGTACACGGTGCATCCTACGAACCTCCAGCTCTCTTATGAGAGTCTGCAGAGCTAAGTTTGAGTCATTTGATGGAGTCATGATAATTGGAAGAGGAAGAGGCGCCCGATCACGACGTTTTTACCCGTTTGCGGTTTTTTGACAATCGCATTATCGGTGGACTCTCTACAACACTACCTTTATTACGAAATAGAGGACAACACCATCATCTACGACAATACACTACGAAATCATCTCACTTCTTAAGAGTGAGACTCCTCTGGAACATAGAGTACAGCTCGACATCTTTGACACGTATATGTTATATATCGTATACCTCTTATAATCGATACGATCGAAACGACAACAATTTATATACCTTCCACACGGGAACACCGGAGGAGTACTATTGAAGGACCTAAACTGATAACGAAACTTACTCTACTCTCATTCAGCGGAGGTATGCTACTTACGGAATTGGGACATCCGTACAAGCCACTACCTGTGCATGTTATAGTTACGCTATATGAGGATTGGTGCTCCTTCATAAGCTTTCTATTGGCAGGATGATCAGAATGAGGACGAGGCAATCCTGACGGTGGGCGATTACAGTACGTTCTGGTATATAAGGAGCAATTAGATTGGTAGTATCGGGAAGGGGATCAGGGATGAAGGGTTTTCGATTACAATGTTTTAATAGTATGAGGAGAAGTGAGAGAGATCAAGAGCAAGTGATCTAGTGGACGAGGATGACCACAATTACAACCCCAAAAGGCCTACCGGCCCAAACCCCCCCTGCGAAGGCAATCATGTAAACCCTGCCCTAGCCCCCTTTAAATTGTATATAAATACTCCCCCTAGCTAGCTAGTAAACCACTCAGAGGCTTCTCCTCTGAGCGTCATTTGTCCAAAACTGGAATAGATGGCTAAGGTTATCACGCGCCAAGGCGCGTGGGCCTACGGCCTATGACGATAAACACAATCAATCAATCAATCAATCTCTACTCTTGTTTTCCTTCTTCTTTTCTCCTTAGCTTAGTATTTTCTAATACAAGATACTTTACCCAGTATTCTTGAGTGTGACATGGAAGTGCTCTAGGCTCTTGAAGTGGTTTATAACTAGATGTCAAGCAGGGACTTAAATAATGACAATGATGCAATTCGTAACTAATAGTAGAGTATACTAAATGATTGATCTTGATCTTGAGTACAAAGCTTTATACAAAAGGAATCCATCTTAATTATATAAACTGTTAAAGTGAATGGTTCCTGCGTAGCACGTGCACAGAGCACTAGTCCTATTAGGACTAGATTGAGAAGCTCTCTGTAAGAGAGCTTCGCACTTCCGTAGAACTTAGAAGAGAGATTAACCTACTAGACCAATATTACCTCAGTTCTACCCTATCAGCTTCCCACTATTCCCTGTGTGAGGTCATTCCTTTTAACATAAACCTTCATATTCCAACATTGAAACAATGGAATTGGGGAGCGAGATTCGAATCTTGCTTCTTCGCTCCCTCGCTCCCTCACAAGACTATTTATATGATCTTATAATACATGATAATAGTTTATAATATTACAACGTAACATGTTTTTAAGTCATTCCTCTTTTGGGTCACGTTTTTTCAGATCAATTTTCCTTATCAAAAATATCAAAAATCAACATTTATAACTTTTTTATTTATAAACAATTTTTTTTAAAGATTTTGAATATACTGTTACGTCGGACAGTAACATAGGTCACGTTCTTGATCACATGATCAAGAAACCGACAAATCGAGATCGGCTTTGCGGTGATCGATTTGTCGGGCTCATAGTGTTACGAAGTTTGCCGTCTAGATCACGTGGAAGTGCTCTAGGCTCTCGAGGTGGTTTATAACTAGGCGTCAAGCAGGGACTTAAAGTAATGACAATAATGATATGCAATTCGTAACTAATAGTAGAGTATACTAAATGATTGATCTTGAGCACGAAGCTCTATACAAAGGGAATCCATCTTGGTTATATAGATATTCATGCTCCCTTGGATCCTTTTGGATCCTAAGCTCCAAAGGCTCCATTGGATCCTTTTGGATCCTCAAGCTCCAAAAGCTCCAAGTCACGTGCTTTCTGACAGTGCGTGCACATACGATCTTAAGGTGGCCCAGATCACATATTAATTCGATGAAATCTGATCGCTTTTGCACAAGGCCCAAGCTCTCCTAATTAGTCAGTTGTTACTATCGTAACACATAGCCATCGGTTTTTTTAAGGAGGCACGAAGGTCTATATAATCAAGATGGATTTCCTTTCTATAAAGCTTTGTACTAAAGATCAAGATCAATCATTTAGTATACTCTACTATTAGTTACGAATTGCATCATTGTCATTATTTAAATCCCTGCTTAACGCCTAGTTATAAACCACCTCGAGAGCACTTCCACGTGATCTAGACGGCAAACCTCGCAACATCCGGGGGACGCAGGCCCCTGGTAGATGAAAATGCTAATTTTTGACATAAAAGAGTGGCTGAGATTAAGGGTGGTCGAGAAGTGGAGTACTAGACTTAGACTTAAGGGCTGCATTTGTATGTATATAAATATAAGGAATGGGGAATGAAGATGAAGTTTAGTTAAGTTCGGGTATGAAGATAGGTTTTGGTATGAAGTTAAGTTCGGGTGTAAAGATAACTAGGTTCAGGTATAAAATTAAATCTCGTATGAGGATCGGTATGAAGAGGTTCAGGCATGAAGAAGTTCAGGTGTAAGGGTATAAAATTAAATCTAATCTAAGGACGAGTATAAGGATTGGTTAGATACAGATATCGGTATTGATGACATTTAAAGAAATAGGAAGGTGCATCTCCGTATGGTATATGGATCTAAATATAAGTCCAAGTAAAAACTACGAGTGAAGAGTGGAGATATAGATATCAATGTGGGTATATAGGTGGATACTAGAAAGAGATAGGGTTAGAGATATAGGTGCATACACAATACGAATAACGGGTGTAGATCTCGTATAGATTGGATTCTGTATGGGTGTAGATGTGGATGGATATACAAATGACTTGTACTCTATATATACAATGAGTTAATTAACACTCGATATAGATAAGTATGGATATATAGGCGGATATAGATAGAGATAGAGATAACGATAGAGATATGAGTATAGAAGATATAAAAAGAGATAAAAACCGAGTTATGAATGGATATATGTGGGTACAGAGAGCATCGGAGTAGAATTTTTTTTTACTCTGTAGATTACTTTGCAGATTACCTTGCAGACACTAATATAGATAAAAGTTTAAGTTTAATTTTAAGTCTAACTTTAAGTCTAAGTCTAAATATAGATCCAATCCAAATATACCACAGAGAGGAGATATTCTGATTTCCTATCTCCTAATGTTTGTACTACTCATAATACTACAGATATATCGATCCATAAAAAAAGTAAGATGTAATCACTATCACTATCACTCTGCATATACCAATTTTCATACTCATTCACACTTATATCTATACCAAGCGATAGTAAAGTAATAATCATCATTCATAAAGCTACATATGTATGCATATGCATATACATATATTCCCAACCTGAATCCCAAACACCATTTACCTGCCGTAATAAGCAAGTGCCCCCGAAAAGTAAAACTATCCACCTATGTAATCTTAACTACATTCTGCGTTTTGCTCCATATTCTATCCACTGCATTCCACCTTTCTACCTCCCAACCACCCTCCCCCACTCACCACCAACACTCACCACCAACCCCTCACCACTCACCACTCACCACTCACAAATTCCCCCTCTCCTCCTGCTCCCTCTCAATCGCCTCAAAAAGACTCTTAAAATTCCCCGCTCCAAACCCATCAAACCCCTCTCTCTGAATAATCTCCAAAAAGACCGTCGGCCGATCCATCAAGGGTTTCGTGAAAAGTTGCAACAAATACCCACCCTCATCAAAATCAATCAAGATAGACAATTTTCTTATCTCCTCAAAATCCTCCTTGAGCACCCATTTATTCCCCGCATTTTTATCCTGTAATCGCTCACGCATCGTCTCGTAGTATGTTTCAGGGACCGAGATAAATTCTACGCCGCGCGCGCGTAGATTCGTAACCGTGGTGATGATATCGGGTGTGCGGAGGGCGATGTGTTGAACGCCTGCTCCGGAGTAGAAATCTACGTATTCTTCGATTTGGCTTTTCTTGAGACCGGGGGCGGGTTCGTTGATGGGCATTTTGACTACGTTGTTGGGGGATGCCATGACGATACTATTGAGAGCGGAATGGGCAGTGCTGATTTGAGAATCATCTACTGACCAGAAACGGTGGAAGGAAAGACATTTTTCGTAGTAGGCGCAGGCGTCTTGCATGGCACCCCAGTCTTGGTTGCCGACGCAGTGGTCGATGGCTTCGAGAGGAATGGAGGGGAGAAGTGCCTCTAGGGGGTCTTTCTTTGAAGCTGGAGTAGCCCGATAGCCTGGGAGGAAAGGTCCGGTGTAGTTGGAACGCGTAATTAAGGTGTGTGTTGTATCACCATAGGTGCGGATGACTGCGGTTGTCTGAAAGGACGAAAATCAGTATATTCCAAATAATAAATGAACCAAGCAAGAAAAATAAGTACTCACAACTTCACCATTCTCATCCACCGACTTGACTGGCTTCTGTACACCTACAGCACCCTGCTCTACTGCATTATAATACACACTCGCCGCATCATCCACCTCAAACGCTACATCCTTAACCCCATCCCCATGTTTCTCCAAATGTTCATAAATCTCCTTTAACAAGCTTCTCTCCTTCTCGGTAATCGGTTCATCATCTTTCAAACTCGAGTATGATTTGACAGGCGAAGCTAACACGAAACGAATCTTGCCATTAGCAACGACATGTGAAGCGATATAACGGGAACCTGTTTCCAAACCCTTGTAGGCGATAGTTTGAAAACCGAGACGTGTGCAGTAATATGAGGCGGCTTGTTTGGCATTGCCTACATACCAGGTTATATGATCGTAGCCGTGGAAATTAGGGGTGCTGGTGCTGAGGGAAGAGTTTGTGTGCTCTGATGTTGGGAAGGTGAGGGAGGTAGAAGTTAGGATTGTAGGGCTAACGGCTGAGGGTGCCATGATATGATGGATTAATGTAAGCGTAGGAGGATATGATCAAGGTAAATGGATAGATAGAGGTGGAATGTTCCGTATGAGAGTAAGATAAGCAGAAATAGGTTGAAAGTAGATGATCAACCAAGACTAAGTATGTAGAAAGAGCTCAAGATAGTTTGTCGAACAAACTTTGCTTGCAGATATGCTTACAGATAAGTTTGTGAAAAGAGACAAGTTTAAATAACAGAAAAAGATGTCTGGAAAAGAAGAAGTGTACCATGGACTTCCACGGATCCTTCTTATGAAGTCCACAGCTCGGCATACGGTGGACGAAGTCGTCCTCGAACACAGAAGAATATCATTATCAATAATTCTTCGCATCCACTGACTACCAATGAATGCACAGTAGTTAAACCGATCGACATCCTTCGGCCTAGGCTTTTCTTTTATTAGAGCATTGTTAGGGTTTGAGGGTGGGGAGGTTTTGATTCCGCGCGGTTTATAAACGGTTGTTTTCGGCATAAGTGCCCGATTCGTCGCTTAGTCATTACGCGGAATTGTAGAATACGGCATCATGGCCGACGGTTTTTTTGTTATCAACACTAGATACTTCTGCTTGCATGATCTAATTCTAATAATAACTAAAGTTTTCTGTTAGTTTCGTGGTTAATAATTCTTCTACATAGATTGCAAAAGAGAACCTCCAAATCACAACTTACATACGGACAAAATTTATCCTCCAAAAATGGCAACACTCACAAAACACGATCTTGATGTCCTCGAGAAAATAAAGGATCCGGAGTCTGGTCCTTCAAATCCTCTCCTTATTGATGATTCGCTTCCAAAAGACCCGCATATCACCGATCCATCTACATATCAAGGAATCGCACAACGAGAACGGGATATTATTCTCTTGATGCAAGATGTCGAACTTCAAATTGCTGGATTAAAACCCGTAGCTGAACTTTCCCCTTTATCACAATATCAATCTTGCGTTCAGAATTTGAATGATTTGATCGAAGAATATCCTAATTATGCGAGTGCGAGGAATAACAGAGCACAAGCATTGCGACGGATTTATGGGGATTTGATGTTGGTGAAGATATCTTCTGTTAAGGGACATGGAGCTGATGTAAACGTACCTTTGGATACGGAAGCATCAGAGGCGACCATTAAGCTTGCCTCATTCAACGCATTATCCGACCTAGATAGGGCAATTTCTCTTCTAGCTCCAAAAACGCCTTGGGCATCAATATCCACTCAAGCAGCGAAGACTCTTTCCCAAGCATTAACGCAACGTGGTGCCTTGTATCATCTATCAGCTAAACAGCTGTCTTTTGACACTGAAGCGAGTGTAAGGATTGACGAGAGGAGAAGGGAGGCGAAATGGAGAACAATAGATTTTGAAGAGGCAGCCTCGAGAGATTTTATGACCGGTGGGAGGTATGGTAATGAGATCGCGAAGGCATTGGCTGTTAGTGCAAATCCGACGGCCAAACTTTGTGGTGATATGGTTAGGCAAGCTATGAAGAGAGAAATGGGGGGTGGTGGGAGTTAAATGGGAACGTTATAATTGTGCTTTCTTTGGAGTAAGGAATGGGGAATCATAAGATCCGACGATGAAGGGCAAAGATCTACGATTTAAGATGGTGATACATGGCGACATTAGTAGAATACCAATTTTCTTACCTCAAGGAGACTCCCACCTATGAGTCCATTGAACTATCAGTGGATGAATGGTTTTGACTTACTTGTTATCATGGAAGTACGAGCTTGGAAAGATCGTCTGGAACGATTTCAGGCAACACTAGAATTCTAATGGCCGTTTCCTGCAGAATAATATTGAAAAGGTTATGGAAATAAAATTCAATTATACATTCCAAGATACCTATAATTAGGACCCCATAATTACTACGTGAATATTCAGATCTTAATTCCCTAGACTGCTGAAGCCACAGAGAGCTTTTGGTTCCGAATCCCGAAGTCTGAATCAAAGAGTAGAACATCGGTGGCCTGCAGAATCTCTCCTTAGTGAGTCGATGGGCATCATGGTTATCTCCATTCTAGGCACTCAGATAATGAAAGAGGCAAAATAAATACCAAATATTCTCTTTCACTCACCAGACCAGTCGTGCACCACCCAACCAAAGTGTCAGTGACAATCACGTTGTGTCCATAGTTTCAGGAGCGTCTACCCGTGTGGTTCCTGAGCATACGCATCAAGCCCAAAAACTAACGGGTGGCTGCTTCAAAATGTCCCGAACACCGTCGCCGAAATTGATATGACATATTTTCTGTTCGGAGTTCAACTCTAGACTTGGAAGACCTTAACTTTCAAATCTTCATCCAAGGGATAATCGTCTCACTGAGATAAAGTGGTCTGACATGGGTTCAATGGGGAGGGACAAAAGATCATTATGGACTGAGGTATTATATAAATGGTTTCAAGACTGGCTTGCCATGAGTGAAATCTGTCTGATATATGCAAGTGGTAAATTCAGGCCTGCTTGGGTGGGTAGATACAGCAGATTAGGCTGGAAATGGCTTGCCTTGCATATCCATGGTATGGACCCAGAATTCCCTTCAAGTCGGACGGGTATAGACATGATCAACGTGGGAAACATCAAGATTTTACTTGAGAAATAAAATCCAATCTTCGCTATATGATGAATAGGTGAATATAAACAGGAATGAAAGACCTAAAATACGGCATGATCTTTGGTAGTTCAACGTGTCAATAAGAATTCAGCTTCCACGCCAATCATTTTTTGGTGACACGGTTGACACTTGTTTGTGAAACTCGTTTATATTATAAACATACGATATGTGACATTTGTGGAAGTACTCAAGATGTACCATGGCTACCAACTTCAGAATTCAAGCAGCTGGGTGAGCCGACATATTAGGAGCGCTGAGCAACTCCTAGCGAATAAATTGCTCTTGCCAGGCCACAAGCAAGCGAGTATCATTTTTTGATAAGCTGCCTCCACACCTAGTGCCTATGATCCTTCAAATGCAAATGATTGATCAATTGATCAATTGGCTGAACATATTGATCTCTGATAAGAAAAGGCAAGGATTCTTCCAAATACTATGGAGAGCAAGCAACACAGCCTTGTGAACAAATAAAGTTGACCCAGGACACGAGAAGCAAATCAGATGAGCAGTATATATAAGGGAAATGACGAGAACGGCAGTTGGTGATCTTGGTTAGATCTGAACGACATTGCAATCTGGGACTGGGATTTATATTGATCAATGGTCATGCTGGAAACTTTTACCGGCTGGCCCCAAAAGACTTATGCATCGCACAGACTGCGCCCACCCAAAGCATTCTGGCATGTCCTACCACACCAGAATTCAAAGGTAATCCGGTTACTCATGATATATGTTCTTAAGTGGCGTTCATCGAAAAAGCAAGCCGGATGGCTATGAGGTGTTTGGGACCCCGGTAACATATGCATGCGACAGAAAAGGCGCTTTTGACCCATCTATTATTGGACGAGGAAAGCCCTTATTCCTGCGAGCAAAAAAAAAAGCTCCCGAGACAGTTTCCCACCATCATGGTGGATGGTTTTATTGTGGCGTGCTACCCTCCTGCTGCGGGTTTTGAAAAAATGACCAATGGGAAGTACATACATTACTTTGGTAACGAGGTAGTACCACCATCATAATGTCCCAGAGAAAAGTTTTCTGCATTGCGTTGACAAGTCCCGATGACGGGTTAGCCATACGGGCCATACCCTAGAATTCCAGTTCGGTTTGAGGAGTGGGGGCTTACATGTCAAAGATAGAAAACAATAATCTCAATATAGTATGTACTATGTAGCAAATAGCATAGTGTTGAATATTCGCTTGCAAGCATTTGACACTGACAGAGTCCAGAAATGAAAAAGTAACATGCGGGAGTATTTCTTTAACTGGCTAACGGGATATTGTGATAGTGATGTAATGTGACGAGATGTGATTGAAAAACCTCCCAAGTTACATTTTAGTCGGGTTGATATCGGTTAGAGTACGGAGTAAATCCGTAGAACCATTTTGAATTGAATTTGAATGGGATTGAATAATTTGAATTGGATTTAGGGTAATCCGGAAATAGGGTCTGTCTTCCCCAACTCCCCAACCTCTTTTCCTTCAAGGGCTTAGAGCGGAAGTTAAAAAGAGCTGCCCGTCTTTTAGTCTGTCCTGTGTCCGTCCTATCCTATTCCATTCCACTAATCAAAGATCCCTTTTCCCATCCATGAAACAAGCACTAAACTAAACTAAAATAAAATAAAATAAAATAAAATAACACTACCGGCTTATTTCGATTCCATTTTCTAAGGCTCAATTCTTCCAGAGCGCCGGAGCCATCCCTCGTCACTCTGGGACCATCATACATGGATCAAAAAGCTTGCTTATTGGATACATTATATTTCCACACATGCGATAACGTGGGAGGGCGTTCCCCGATTGAGGGTTAGATGCGTCAGCAAGTGAATAAGTTGATGGTGGGCTCCCCTTTCGGCTACCAATACGAAGGAAGGAAAGTAGATGCGTGGACAGGACAGGCTACATCCAGTAGGTAGATACTAAAAAGAAGCTCATAACCTCCGTGACTCCGATGATATGTGGCTAAGCGTATCGCCAGAACTTGCTTTGCCAATGTTGATCGCGGCATATCAAATTTACCAAACGACTGGAAACTCAAGGTCCCAAAGCCCTGTTTTTCTAGGCATGTAAGCTCTGAGCGTCTGATTCTCGAGGTGGATTCGATCCCGTGCCGTGGTGAGAGAGTCAAGAGTCAGAAGTCAAGAGTCAGGACTAAGACAAGATTAGATCACATCCGGAGTAATTAGGCATAGCATAATTCTTCTTTGCAGATTACCTTGTGGTTTTATCTATCGCCGGTGATCACAATCTGAATGATTAAAGGACTCTACGCGGGTATCGGTATCGTCTCCATCGTCTCAATCATCTCAATCGTGTCAATCCTATCAATTTAGAAATGATTCATTTGGGTAGGATTCATGGGAGATCGCTGCCCGGGCGGGGGCAAAGAAAGATTTGAGATTGGTAACACCAGCGGAAGGGAGACGGGTTTGAGTAAAGTTTTTGGTTCCGGATTTTTATTTGTGGAATTTGTGGGAATTGTGGAATCGTGTGGCATCTTCTCCCGTGTATCGCGAAAATCTCAATCTGGGTAAAAATCCGTGCATGAAGGTACTTTTCGGGATTATCCCCCGCGTTGGTTGGTCATCGTACGATATCTACTTTTATTACTTGATCTTTTTTTATTTTATATTTTTTGATTTATCCGGATTAGGGGCGTCAATGAAAAGACTCGAATGTTAATATGTACTCGAGTAGAGAGTTCCAGTTGTATTAAAAGTTGCGAAAGACGGAAATATAATCGGACTATCGGTGTGATTCTTTTTGAATATACCTAGTTGAGACTGACCTCATATACATCAATAGAACCTCACGAAAAAAAGAAATGGATTGACGGGGCAATGTAAAGGTAGGCTAAATTAGAATTTGTCTTACTCCGTACACTAGACCAGATCTTTACGGATGGGAACTGATTTATTACTCGGAAATGCTTCGAGATTTAAACGTTTTCCCAAGAAATGCAATGAAGGTTTAGACGGAAATATTAATGCAGCTATTAATGCACCCGTGGCCGGTCTAGGCAATATCCTGCCATCATTCTCAGCCCATTGTGGTAATAATTTCCTCTTTCCTCGTGTTTCTTTCCCTGAATGTCCATTGTTTAACAATCCACCGACATTTTTATCAAAAGTATTTACTCTCTCTACCTAGGTAATATTATTATTGCCGTTTTCATGACTGTACCCATGAGCCTGATTTCCGCATCTCCTACTTTTTTGAAATGGTGGATTTGCTGACCCAGGCCGCGTAGTGACCAATCTAAAATACCCGCACCCACCAACTGGGCTCGTCTCGCTCGTAGTCTCGCTCATTTCGCTCATCCCAACCAATAAACATTTCCTTCCGCTGAGACAAAAAAGCTGTAGATGGGCGAATAAGGAGGAAGGTTTGGAAAGGGCAAGAAAGTTTCATGGAAAAGAATACGAAAAGAATACGAAAATTGTGTGGTGCTCTGCTCCTGTAGAAAGATATTGATGATGCAAGAAAAGACTGAATGACTTTGGGAAAAGAGTGGAAAGGAGCACATGGCCTTTATATATAGTAAATGTCTCTCATTACTGCTTTAAATTTATGGGCATGGTAGTATGGTGTAGGTCGCATTGCAGAGAAAGAGCGTACGGCTAAGGGAGAGAAGCCAGACCAGACAGTTTAGACAACTTGGACAAGAAGCTTTTTTCGTGCGAACTACTGGAATGAATGAGAACTGGACGAGCCTAAAGACTACTTTCTCCGTAAAGACCACGCAGTTATCGAAACGGCTTAAGCCCTGTCATACAACCCAACCTGTCGAGTTGTCGAGCCTGCCTGTCAAATCCCCTGTCAAACGCATGCTTTGGTTAATTCCCAGTTTTCCCTTGATGGGTCAAAATAGGTAACCATGGGATGGGATGGGATTGAAGTGTGTACGTGTGTGAGTGTGTGTGTGTATATGTATGTATGTATTGTACGAGTGAGAGTACGCGGAGTATGTATCATGTATTGATATGCCCGCCATTTGTAGTTTGTTAACCAGTTATTCTGCGATCCAACACTTAACCTTCTTTTAAACACAACCTTAACCTTTGGGAGACCTTTTTTGGATGGTCATACATAGCATAGTGTATTACTGCGTATTACATTACATTACTGCGCTCAAAGCGGGCAGCCCAAAGATCGATCACTGCTCTGGAACTGGCACTACCACTCGGGCCCTTTGGATTGGTCTCTTTTATACTAATAATGAACTAAAATTCCTGGGGATCGTACAAGCGACAGGGCACAGCTTGCTCCTCCCTTCCATTTGATGAGAGGAGCCCTGCTGGTGGATGTGGACAGGGAATAATAGAGACTTGGAACTGGCCAGGATTAGGATTGGGATTGGGATTGGATTGGGGCCACCCAGCAATTCAATTCCTCATTATCCTTTGGTTGTGCCGAGATAGGTAGTTTGATTCTCTACTGCTGGATCTCTTCTTCGTCCTCGAAAACTTGACACCACTCTACACTACTCGACACTACTCGACACCACTCACTTGTCGACTCCTCCAACCCAGAATGAATGGTACGGAGTGATTGAGAAGGATAGACGGTCAATAAGCATCGTTGTCAATATACTTACTGTATCTTACTTCGCTTCCAATCATCAGGAACTCCCAGTAATATTTCCATCGGGAAACACGTACCAGGTTATCATCCTCACCATCCTACCAACCCAAGCGTCCCCAGCTTAAGCTGAATGGTAGCCAACCAACAACACGGCCACTCCGACCTCGACACACATTGCAGTCAGATTGTTTGGGGAAGAAATGATTCATTCTTTCATCTTGTAACATCTGCAGTTATTTTTCACGATTACTTCAAGCCTCACGATACAGCAGAAGTTTGAAACATACATATCTAGGTAAGAATATGAATCGATAACGCATTGTCGCTCCCTTACTTTAATCTTCCGATACTCGTACCCATTAAACTGGGTGTCGGGAACAAAATTAACTTTCCGGCCACTGGGAGGTTTATTGCATTTAGGGCTAACAACGAGGATATAGCATATATAATAATTTTGATCAAAATCAGCAACAATGGCTGAACGAAACATTACTATCGCTTCAAATCACTTTAGAGGGAGTGTAGACTCCAATATGGCAGCGTCTACGTCTCCCAAAAGCATTCCCGAAATAATTACGAGGACGACCAAAGGAGGGAGGAAGCTTAGATATACCTTGACTGTAATTCAACAACCTGAGCGTGCTAGAGCTTGTGGTTCCGGAGCAAAGTGTATGCTAAATTTCTTTCGGTGAAGGAGTCAAAACATTGTTACCAAGACTAACAACGCTCTTAGCATCTGCCGATCGCCGCCCAGTCGATCCTCCTCCTGTCGTTCAACTTCGCATTCACGATGAAACAGAACCACGACAAGAGAAGGAGATAACCTTTCACTATAATGCAAACTTCTTTCTATTTGCAACTTTGGAGGTCGCTCGGCCAATCGCTCAAGGTCGTGTACAAACTTCGGCTCCTCAAGCACCTGTTTTGACGGGCATGCCAGTGTCTGGAATGGCATACTTGGATAGACCCAATGAAGCTGGATATTTTATTTTTCCTGATTTGTCTGTTCGACATGAGGGCCAGTACAAGTTGAGCTTCAATCTTTATGAGGAGACAAAAGAGGAGAAGGATGTCGATATCGAACCTTCGAATGACTCAAGCATGCGAAAGATGTCGAGCGCTGCGGCGGCCGCTGAATCCTCCTTTGATTGGCGTATGGAGCTTAAATCCGACCAATTTACTGTATACAGTGCAAAGAAGTTCCCTGGTCTCTCTGAAAGCACTGATCTGAGCAGGACGGTGGCGGAACAAGGTTGCCGAGTACGTATTAGACGTGATGTGAGGATGAGAAGAAGAGACACGAAGCCTGGAGGAGACTTTGGTGAAAACGAGGATGAATATCAACAGGGAAGGGCTACTTCGCCTACATTTGATTACGCCATCCAAGCTGCTAGACAGAGAGCTCTGAGTACAAGTGGTAACGAGGATCCACAACAGAGGCGTGGATCAGGTGAGATATCACCATACCGTTCGCCTGCTGCAGGTTCTCCATATCGTACACCTTCGCTTTCTCCATCGACGTCAAACGCACCCCTACCTGCTGGTGGACAGCTCCATTGGATGGCACAAGGCAGTGGATATGCTCCTGTACAGGCAATCCAACCTCCACCCCCGCCTCCACCTCCGCCTCCGCCTTCCTCATCCTATTCACAGCCGATATCGGTCGCCTACCCTAACCAAGGTCCATCGACACCATTCCGTCAGCAAGCTCTTCAAGGTCCACCTCCGCCACCCCCAGGAAGTTACAGTGGGTTCGAGGAGAGGCAGTCCTTTAGTCAATTTCGTCCTCCTGCCAATCCTCCTCAACCACAGTCGTATGATCCAGACTACCGGAGAATGTCTTTTGCATACCAAATGTCCAATGCATCTCAAGGTTCCCAACCTACCACTCCTGCTGTTCAAAATTCTACCTACAGCCAGCAATCTATGGAACCTACTTATAGCCGTAATCCTTCTTCTGCGTACTCAAATAGCTATCAGGATTCTGTCGCTCTCGCACCATTGCGAGCTGAGCAGCCGACAGCTATGTCCCCGCTTGCCCCAGTAACTTCTATGATCCGTGGACCACCAAGCCTGGCGCCCATGCCAAGTATTGGATTAAGCAACAACTATAATAAGCTAGAGAGATCTGGGTCATATAGCCAATATCCTCCGATTGAAGCAGAGCCACCAAGATCAGCCAATAAGAGAAGCTACAGTGATGTTTTCATCACCCCTAGTGAATCATTGTACAACGGTAGACGACCAAGCGCCATTAGTCAACGAGAAGAAGATGAGGAGGAACAAAGGTTCAGAGATCAAATGACTTACAGGCGAGCTAATGGCAGCTTCCAACGGAAACCGGCTCCTAACCTCAACTAAATGTCAACATTGAGCTCAAGGGCCGGGATGGGTGTCAACCATGTTTATAGCAAAGGCGTTTGATGATTTGATTTTCTACACGCCATCGAGTTTTTCATTATTACTTTTTTCAGTATACGATTTTGGACCAGATTTTTACGATACCAATTTGTCGGGGACATGAGCTCCCATATACCTTTCTTATTCTTCCACGACTCGCGGTGGTGTTGTTTGCGCGTGTTTTTACACGCTTCTGGAAAAGCATACATGGAATTTCTCCTTACGATATCTAGATTGCAGAAAGCATTGACTTTCTTCCCCTTTTAGTTTTGCTTTGTTTTATTGGTACCTGCTTTGAGCACCCTTGGGGAATTTTTGACCTGGAGGATGAGATGACGAGTGGAGCGGGTTTGAAGAAGCATTCTGTAATTTATGGGCTTGGAAATGGGAGAAAGGGGTTCCTTTAGCAGATGGGAATGGAGTGAAAATGGATTGCAATCAGTTGAATACCCTACCTATCTAAATGAAATGAAAAGACTGGAATTGGAGAAGAATTTTACACCATGGATATTGATGCTTATATATATATATATATTGAATTGTTTAAATGAGTAAATTGTGCAATCTGTATATAGCTTACATCCCTACCTATTATGAATGAAATCCCTTTTTTCCCCTCTCATCCTGGATCCATTACTAAGTTCACGGCGATCTTCCAAGCCACCAATGAATGAATGAATGAATGAATGAATTGGCCCCATGAATTTCCGGGCTGAAGCTGTTACCATAGATACGATGCAGGTACAATGTGTATATGTATGTACTCCAGCTCTTAGCCAATCTACTAATGCTTGACATACACACAGTTTAGATGTGAAAATGGTTGACTTACAGGAGATCTTCGAGGGGGTTGGAAACGTGGAGGGAGGTTATTTGTGTGGCGGGTATGGACGTGTTGCCCCTGGAAGCACCAAGGAATACTGTGCCTGTACCTGATGACTTACTTTTAGGTAAGGTTTAAGGTTTGAGGTTTGTTTGTTTGTGTTGCAGGGTGGATTTTGGAGGAATGGATTAGGAGGGATGTATGTGTAGGTTTGTATTGTATGTCTGTGTTTGTATATCTTGATACTGTATGCTGATGTTATAAAGTAGAATCTTTTATCTGTAACAAGTAATTATTATAAAAGGAGATCATAATACCGTAAAATACTCACCAGTTTAAAGTTTCCTACTAAGCGCGGGGGAAAAAAGGGTGTGAAAAATGAGTTTGATTCGAGTGGCTGGGATTGAACCCCGTGTAGACCTGCTCAATTGTACATTAAACTATTTTCTTGGCAACGGTTTCTCGGTTTGTTGACACAAGTTACCTAGTAGTTACATCCTATTTTTTGTTTACTTTCTGCTCAAAAGAGTCCAAACGCAAAAAGAAGAAAAGAAAGAAGAAAGTTCTCAACTCAACAAACGTGTTCTGCGCGTTCATGCAGCGGTGAGACTAATTTTAACCACTCTAACTATTAACTCCGCATTTTGCTTTGCTATGCAACCGACCTGCATGTTTAGACAGCCATCAACAAAAGATTACTACGAATCACATCTCTCCCTCTCTTTAATGTGCGAAATCTTCTTCGACTTATTGGGAAAGCTAGTAAGACATTCTGACACGCTACTTTAAGGTACCCGAAAATAGAGGTGCATATTCAATTCATATTAATCACTTCGATCTTCCCCCCCATTTCAGCTCTCTTTTTCGATCTTCTTTCTTCTTTGCGACTTTCCCCTTCTCCTCCTCTCCTCCTTTCTTTTCCTTTGTGGAGTCCCGCGGAGAGATCCATTTGATTGTACGCGTCAATGTCACCGTGTTATTAAATACGCTCTCGAGGATTGGCAAATGGCGAGTTACAAGGTTAGTTTTCATCCATCTCAAGATCCATAATTCAACCTCGATTGATTGCATGCACCTTCCCTACTTCCGAGGACGATCTTATAGCCTTCCTCGAGGCATAACAATTACTAATTATTTATCTCATCAGACTCCTCGTCGCCAGTCGATGGATCATCCTATGGACGAAAGTCCGTTTGATGATCGTACCTATTCCATCGATTCGAAAACGGGCTCGAAAAGATTGTACAGTGATCGCAATGCTCGACCGACGATTCTGGTAGATGATGGTGAAGGTGGAAAGTATCTGGGTCCTGCTTTCGATCATGATGAAGAATATCCAGATGGGAAGCGTCACCGCTCGGAAAATTGGCCTTTGCCTCCGGAGCCTGTTCAGCAGGGAAATCCTCCGCCTCGAAACGCTTCACGCGCTCGCAGTCGAACTAGTCATAGAAGTCGAAGATCTACAGCGTCGCCTTCACCTGCTCGCCCTAATCTCCATAGATCTCGTCCCTCACGATTTTTGGAAGGTAGTATGAATGATAAAGTCAGTAAGATACCACCCACACCATACCTTTTCCATGAAGAAGAGCTTCGGGAGCGTTACATTGAGGATGAGCTTATGGGAAGGAATGATCGGGCGACTCCAGGTACGAAGATGTGGAAGCAAGCGTTTATGCAACATTCAAATAAATCTATGGGTGCGGAATCGTCACTCGCAGCAATGTCGGATACGTCTCGACAATCATCTATATTTCGATTCGGTAGTAAGCTTGCAGCTTCAATCAAACCATCCAATTGGAAGATCTTTTCAAAGCCGCAGAAAATCGTAGAGGAGACGCCCCAGCAAAGAGCTGTACGAGAGCGCCAAGAGAAGGCGGAGAAGATGTATCACGAATTGAAGGCGAATGGCTTCTTTCGAGATGGTGCAATTGTTCAACAGCCGGGTTTCAGACCTCTCAGACATTCTATGGATCAAGCACCACGATTCAAGCATGATTCTGGAGTCGAGTTGAATGATAAATACCATTCGAGAGAAAATTCGCCCATGGAGGACAAGAGACAGGCCAGACCTGTCACCAGTACTCAAGACTTCTACCATGACAGTCCCGCCTCTAAATTCTCGGCTCCGGTTGGAGCTTCAACTCCTCAAAGTGTTTCCACCGAAAGACACCATCGATGTCGAACCTCAGAAAGATGACAAGCAGAGAGTGGATGTCGCGGCCTGCATTGCCTGAACATTCTCGATCTGTGAGAAAAGTACCGTCGAGAAAGGAGTTTCAAAGACAGCAGAAACTAGTTAAGCGTGTTAGTGATTTGGAGACGAAGCTTGAAGACGCTCGACGTCAATTAACGGAGACTTTCGCGGAGCCGCTTGCTGAGGAACAGATATACCAGCCCCCTGATTTTCAACAAAGTCAATCTCACCAACCATCATACCAGCAACCATACCATCAACAGGCATCACGTCCACTACCTCCCCCATCCGACCGATATGGTAGAACGCGTTTTGTACCTGGTGCTCTAGCGACCCTTCCTTCTGAGCGACTTTTAAGCGGCTACGTTGATCCTGAAGCAAACTTCAATAACGATGAGGATTACCACAACATTGGAAAAGCTATTACAACACGAGATAGCATGGATCATATTTCGACTGGGCCAACTGATTTGTTCAAGACGAATCAGCTTCGTAGTGTACAAGCGGGCCAGGCTTCCACTACAGTGCCAGAAGAGGGGTCAGAATATGTGCTATCTAGCATTGAATCTGATACCGATATGTCTGACAGCTACCATCCCCAAGGTTTTATCACTGGCGGATCTGCTGCTGGTGCCAAGATGGCGGTTGAAGTCAAGTCCACAACTTCGCGTGTTCTTTCACAACAAGCCAGTGTTGAAGAGGCAAAGGCTGGTCGACCTCGCGCAATAAAGAAGAAAAAGATTGCTGAGAAAGATAGTGCCTTTAGACCCACACCCGAATCCGAATCTGATTCCGATCACGATATCATACCGCTCAAGAAGGTGAGAAGTAGCCGAACCCGGAAATTAATCAATGAGAAAAGTCCTTACACCGGCCCTTCTACCCCCGAAAAGAGAGTTGTCTCGGACAATGCTCGCAATCCAACAGCCCGACATCCTGCTCCTGGTCATGAAACCGAGAGACCCAGAAGCATTCTCGTGAAACTCAGGATTCCCAAGGATGCGCCTCCCGCCAAGACTGATGGTGATTTCCTCAGCTATACTAAGCCGAGGGAATCTCTATCTCAACAATCTCAATACAACGCTGACGATCGAGAACCCATTTCCGCAAATGACTTTTACGGAGCTCCCCCGGTACCCAGAATCCCCCAACATGTCCGCCTCCCCAGTGGTGAAATGCTTCATACCAGGAATTCCAGACCGCAACGAACACAAACGACCAAAGAACCCGGAGACTGGCCTGAAGATCTCGAGATCTTTTAAATGATTCTCCGATCCATACACGCCATGCTTTAAATACAACTAGCTACATACAGAACCTACGAGGAAAATACCCCAGCAAAAGCAACAATTTAACATTCACCCGAATGTGTTACGACTTTACGACAGACATGATGATTTGATATTGTACTAATTCTACGAAATTCATTTACGACCCCTACGCTTCTTTTTAACGGCAATACACCTAATAATATTTTGATTCAATTTTTCTTTAATTTTTCTTTTGTTCACATCTCTTGACTCTTTTACGACTGATATGAGAAAAACGTTTGTTTATTTTGCCTATTTGCAAGGGCATCATTGCATTCATTCGCATAGCATAACATAGGTAGTCAAAGTGAGTTGAGCGAGCACTTTTAGTCTTTGGACATTTTAATGCATGTGCATTTTCAAGGCGAGTAATTTGAGGAGAGTGGAGGATAGAAGGGCTGGATCGGGGATGGGGTTGGGATTGGGTGGGAAGGAAAGGAAAGGGAACGGGAGGGGTAGAATGGAATGGAATGGATGGAAATGGAATACCTGGCAATTTTTCTATTCTTCAAAGGAATGGATTTCCTTTCTCGTCTCCCCCGAGGTTCAACTCGAATTGGAGTGGAGGTCTTTTCATTGTATTTCAGATGGTTGTTGATATGAATATGGTATGGACGGTGTATTTCAAATTTATCATTTGCACTACTACTACTACTACTATCTCTCTCTTCTAACCACCTACCTACCTACTTACTTAACTAGCTACCTAATACGATTCGATATATCGTGATAATCTCTCTCCATGCATCCATCCATTAGTACATTAAATACCTAGACTATTCCAGAAGAACAAATACCGAATGTTGATAAATAAAAAGCAAAAAAAAAAAAAAAGAAAAAAGGTTCCACTTCCACTTCCACTTCCCACTTCCAACTTCCCACTTTATGATGGGAATCGGGATCCCGCTGGTGAATGAATGAATGCATGCATGCATGATATGACTAACTGAACTGGACTGAACGCAACGGAACTGAACTACATGGCTTGCCTCATCCTATCTTCCAAGATATCTCATCCGCTGGATCAAACAAACAATTGAGATTTTCATCTTTCATTTTTATTCTTATCCATCCATATATCCATATATCCATTCATTCATCATTCCAATGCATCTATCATAGTTACCCATTCCTTTCATTTCATCCGTCCTTCCATCCATCCTTCCTATAACTATCCCATACAGGTAAAGCCCAGAAACCAGCCAATCCCAAGCAAGCAAGCAAGCAGCCATCATACTACCATCAAAGCAAAATCAAAATCAAAATCATCATGAACGCTAAAACGCATAATAAACAAAGTACTAGAGATCCAACCTTTCTGGGGTAAAGGCGATCGAGGGGTAACCTGACGTGACGTGGGATGAATAAAAAGATATAAAAAACGTGAGCCAAAAAAAAAAGACAGAAGAGAGGCTAGCCAGTATCAGGGAAGATGCTGTGATTTTTACAAGCAATTATGATACTTCCATCACACGCCCCTGATTTTGGTTTCGATCTGTGAGAGAGTTGAAAACATAAGATGCACGGGACCAAACAGCAGGGATGCGAGTGTGGAATGTAGCGAGCATCATTACGAGGAGTAAGGGGATCTGTGGGGAGAATTGTTAGTCTGGAAATGTTTTTGGATGAATGTTGAAATGACAGTGGATGGAAGGAGAAAAGTGTGACGAGAACAAGAAAAGGTAACGTAAACAAGAACATACCCAGATAAGAAATAGTTTCCTATCACTCCTAACCCTCTTCAATTTCGCTTGACGTAGCAATTGTATTTGGTTCTGTTGCTCCACCGTAACTACTTCCTTTCCGCCGATTCTAAGGGTGCCCATAGGCATTGGTCTCCTAATCATAGCAGCTGTTGAACTTTCTGCGTGGACTACAGATGTCGCTGCTTCAACCTGTGTTTCCATTTGATCGAAGACTTGAGTACATTTGTTGTCTGCGATGGTGTCCGCAACTGCCTGTTCTGCGGAAGCTCGTTTCACATCCATATCATTTTGTGGGAAGATGTCTTCGTACGCGGGTGGTGCAGCAGCTACGTTACCGGAGAAAAGATCCCACCATTTGTTACCTTGTTCCTTGGCGCCCTCTTGACGGTTAGGACTGTCCGGACGGCTGGCGATGCGACGGGCCATTGGGCTTGGTAGATAAGCTTGGTACCCTGGAAGGTTTGCAAGAGTAGGCATTTGAGGCATTTGAGGCATCTGAGGTAGGGTTGGGAGACCAAGATGCATACCATTGTGGAAGCTTTGTTGTAGATGCTGCATCTGAGCTGTGAATTGTGTGAATTGCGCGAACATCTGGTCTCGGATTGCGGTCATGGCTAATGTTGGAGACGCCAATCCTTCATCTGCTTCGACCTCAGGAAGTTCCAAAACAGGGGTTTTAGTTGCTTCAATAGCATCATTCGATATTTTCCCTGCAGTTGACCCCCTAGATTGCCTACTCCGCATCAAGAATGCACCGTCAGCCTCGGTTTCAACATCGGCGTCCTCGTCCTCATATTCGTTGCTATCCTCGTCGTCACTATCGCTGATGCCACTTTCATTAGGTATCTCTGCATTTGGCGGTTGCCATAATGATCGTAATGATGTGGCACTGCTGGTTCTACTTTTCAATGAAGAACCACTTCGTCTCCTTGAATGATGTTCCACTCTGCGAATGGCACGATGGACTTCCTCGGAAGCTGTCATATCTGCAGGAGCATATCCTTGGAGACTTCTAATCAATGGATCGGCACCACTGAGGATGAGTCGTCGAACAATTTGTGGGTGGTTATGAAGAGCAGCGAAGTGCATAGGCGTGAATCCACCTTTGTCTCGTGGTTCGCAATTCACGTTTCGTGCCAATAAAGCAGCGACGAAGCGGTGAAGTCCCATTGAACAAGCGAGGTGAAGCATTGTTTGCCCAGAGGTTCTACGTAGGTTAAATCGCGGCTTGGTCGGACTATCATCGAGATCAATAAGATCCAGACATCTCAATAGTGTCGCTTCAACATCGACGCCAAAACTTGCCGCATTGAATCCGCCACCATGTTGTGAGGATCCACCTCCGCTCGGCGGAGATTGGCCTGATGGTGCTCCCCAAGGACCATCCACAATTCTTCTAGCAAGATCACGCACGTCTTCCATTTTGCCGGTCATCTTATGACCTAATACGGCTAGAGCTGTTCTAATGATCTGTTGTTCATCGTCATCAACATATTTGAAGAATGCCGTTTGTTTTGGCATTGGTGGTGTTGGATATTGCTGCCTTTGTTGATGCTGGTGTGTGAACGTGACCGACACGGTACCGGCAATGGCAGACGGGGGCAAAAGACATACTAAAGACGTCTCACCCCAGAATGTCGTCGTTGTTGCTTTAGCATCACCGAACATGACTTCCAACCCTTGAGAAAATCCACTACCCAAGCAGGTAACTTCTATTCCTCCAGCCTTCGGTCCCTCGTTTGGTATCAGTTTATGAATCACAGGTGGCCGCTGTGGGCTCAGACTCATGGGCATGCCATATATTCCATTGGCCGCAGCTTGTGCCATCTGAGCTTGCTGCTGCTGTTGCTGATAAATTTGGACATTATTGCGCATACCATTCGGACTCGGGGCGCGGCTAGGATGCGCTGAAGGAGGCGCCGAAAAGAGTTGATGCATGACCAAATTGTCCGTTGATTGAGGTCGATGGCCATGCGGGATAAATAATTGATCATTGCTATTCGGAGTAGGAGGACCTGTGTTGAAATGCGACGGAAATTGTTGCACTGGAACAGGCTGACAGAATGGGTGCTCATTTGGTGGGAAATTTGGAAGATTTGGTGTAAATGGTGATGGTATAGCAGAAGTGGTGGCGTTGGTAGAAACATGTGGTCCAACGCTCATCCCCAGCTGCCCGGTCTCTAATTTAGTCATTGCTAAACCAGTGGGAACCTTACCAGAAGAACTGGCCTTGCGTTTTTTAGACAATGGAGCGCCAGATGGGGTCAAAGGCGATGCTTGTGGCGATATCTGCCGAGTTGGGATCGCAGTAGAAATTGCTTGAGGTGGATTAGGTGCTGGATAAGTCACTGGCTGTGGGTATGGCATGAAATTCTGTGGTAGGCTCTGAAGATCCGGCGCGGATGGTGAAACACGGAAAGGAGGCATACCGGGAACAGGACCAGACGCCATATCAAAGTTTCTTTCATTCGAATACGGAGTCGAACCTGGATATATTTGTCCATCGGTCGCACCAGACACCTGCCCAGAAATGGGTAATAAGTTATGCGTCTTGTGATCATCTGTAATCATAATCGAAGAGGTGATAGCTTGTGCAACCAGGCGGTCTTGATAGTCCTTGATAGTAAAAATAACTCGAAATCCAATTTTTTCATTTTGATGTCGACAATAACATGCGATTCGCATCGGAGCATCAACTTGCATGGCACCATCAGGTACGATAGGTTCAGGCCGGTCACCAGTGGCTTCCGATGGTGGTTGACTTGTGGGCGATTGCCAGTCCTTGATTTCGTGAGTATTGAATACGATGACTCGCTTGGCCTCGTCTTTATGCCATGATTCTTCTTCCTCGACCTTCTTTATCTTCTTTCGAGCAGCCCTTTTCCTCTCACGTGTAATGCAGCCACTACATATCAAGACTTCGCCCCCGTTCAACGGTTTTCTTTCATCATCTTCATCAGATCCACTGTCCGACGAGTGACTTGGAGAATCTTCAGGCGCCGCCGCTCTTTCTAAGGCCTTTCGGAGAATCTCGGGATTTTCCATTGCACTAGAACAGACCAACATGGTATAAAGCTCCAAAGTGTCCGGCGAGCGTTCGGGGGGAGGTTTGACGAGAAGTTTGGGTTTCGAAATAGTTTGTGTTGGAAGATGGAGCTTGGTAACACCTTGGGGAACAGGGAAAAGTGTCATTTTGATGGGGATCTGAGTCTCAACGCGCGACTTCAATGGTGTGGGGTGTAATGTCAAAATCGGCTTCGTATATGATGCAACCGGATTCTGGCGGCCCTTGTATTGAGGCGTGTTTTGGAATGACATGGTATTAAACTGGACTTGAGTTCTCATCATGTTATGAGGTAAATCCATGCTATTTGTCCAAGGAGGAAGACCATGAGCCCCACTGGGCATTGCGCCAGACATAAATTCAAGCCCAGCATTGGGCGACGGAGAGTTGGTGAATAAGTTATGTGCAGGGGACGACGCTTGACTTGTCGATGCTGCGGACAAGGGCGACGTTTCCCGTGAACCCATATGATATCCATTTGTAGAGTGTACTGCGGAATGTTGCTGCCGTTGGTGAACACGTTAGTACATTTGTATATTGGAAACGTAACAGTGAGTAAAAATTGACCTACAGAATTTGATTTGTTATGATTCCTGAACTTTTTCCTAACGATTGGTGATATCTTGCGCGGGGTATCATGCTTGATAGTCGGCATTTCTGGTGATTCCATATCCATTGTTATCGCAAAAGGACTTGGGCTACTCGACGCGCTGTCGAAGTCGAAATCATTTTCCATGCTCTTGTCATTGAACCCAAAATTGTTAATCATTGCTGACGGATTGATGGTTCCATTTCCAGGGTAGTCATCAAAAGTCGAAATGCTCTCCCCTTTGATCATATCGTCGCCCTTCCAATCTCCCATGTCTACGTCATCCCCAATCATTGCGGCCCCTGAATTCAAAGCAGATCGTGACGAATCCGAACTAGACTTTCTGTTATATTCCATCGAATCGGAAGTAGAGCTTTGGGACGAGCCAGCCGGTGAGGCTGTCGATGGAGCTGACAAAGGCGCCTGCAGTATCGTCGTGTTAATGAACGATGGTTGTTCAGGACTTTTGTGGCCCGCAACACTTGGTGTTGCATATGCTGAATAGTAAGGGGGTGAGTCGTGTGAGAATTCCTCGAAGAGGTTGTTTGGACTATAGGTTGTCTCAAAGGGTAAATGTGAACTATCGAGGAATTCGAAATCGGGATCAGAGTCCGCTCCCGACATATCTGGATTGAGAATGAACGGCGGCGAGGTTGCAGATACAGGTTCTTGCATGGCCTCTCGTATGTAAAGCAAGGCTCTTCAAATGGTACTGTATATCCTTACGCGGAGAGGATCTGTGAGGACCCCGGTCCGGAGAATGGCAAATCCTAGGCGCAAGATAATCGACCTGGCGATAACTTCTATCCTGACTGTATCAATACTATCGTAACATTATTTGCTACCCTCTTCGACTGTATGTAATAGGTAAACAAGTAGCTGTGGTCGTATGGAGTCGGACGAAGATCGTTGCCGCCAAGTGAGGTGTGCGTCAAAAGACAGGAAGTAAAAAGCCGATGAAAGATTTGCTTGGGTGGTATTAGAACTGTTGCGTCGAAAGTAGCGTCACTCAAAAGGGTATCTTAAATGCAAATTGAGCAGCGATTTGTGGAAAGGGCAAAGATAAAAAGGTACAGGATACGAAGTTGTGAGGGCTAGGTCGTATGTACTTTGTAAAGCACCAGGTGGAGTACAATACTACTTCTGCACTGGTCACCAGTTTGGTCGATGTTGATCCTCGTCTTTTATGTAATCCTCAGGCTGAAGTTATCCACGAAAACTTCGAACAATATCGCTAACCGGGTCCCTCTTTGCTTGTGCAGCATGTAGATGTATTCATGTCACGTACGTACTCTCATAGGTGCTTGCTAGTTGAGGAGAAAGCGGAGAAAGAGGTCGGAATTAAACACCACAGTGAATGTGAATATACTGTAGAGGGCCATTCAATAATGAAGTTGCAAAGTGAATTAATTGATTAACCTTACTGGTTTTTCACATCGCTATCATTTTCCCAACAAATAGGTGGTAGGTGACCTCAACTGGCGGTGATGCTTCTGGGGGCCATGGGGTATGATTACTAGGTATCTACCAATTATTACACAGAAAAGACCTCGCCAAAATGCTTTTTACTCCAATGAGATCACACTTCCTCCTTCATCATGTACCATGCATGATATTGCTCTTTTGTCTTCCTACCTAGGTACACAACCTTTCTCAAAAATTCAGATACTCTACTTCATTCCACATCGCCTCCACAATTCATGCTTGATTTCTTCGACAATTCAATACAGATGCAGACTGAAGATAAACAACCCACGCACAAGAGGAAGAGATGGTCGATAGGGAGACAGGGTTTCGTTGACAACTGGTGCAGGAAAAGGGTTGGAACTTGGATAGCATGAAGTTGCATGGATAAACATGGATAACGTGCGAGCAAGGTTTAAGAATCTGGCAAACAAAAATAAGAGAAGAGATTGATGGAGAGCGAGGGGCTTGATGCATGATTGCGATTACGGACCTCAATTTTTCTGGAAAGGTTCAACCCTCTTTGGCCTGGGGCTGCGCGCAAGCAAAGAAGATAAAGACTGTGCCGATTCTTCCCTTCTCCCTATAATTGGCACCACCTTCGTCTTCAAGTGAATACCATTGTCATCATATCATCCGCTTTGGAAATAGCTAGGAGCGTGGCTTGCATATGGACGCGCGCCAAGGTATGTATATGCCATGGCATGATCTTTGTCTTTTACCCCCAACCACTTGCATGCGAGACTCTAAGTAGTCATCAAAGTTGGATTGTTCCACAACGAGTCGCCTATGGTGAAGCGTTTATGTCGCCAGTTTCACGGGGGAAAAGCTAGTCCATTTTACTGTTTCGAAGCAAGGGCATGCTTGACTGGGGTCGTGTAGTATGTATCATTGTATTAGAATAGGACGAGTGCCTTTCTTTTGATTTTGCCTCGATTTATTACACGTTTGCTTTGAAAGTCTATGGTTTGATTTGTCAGCTGTCTTGGTGTTGATTCCTCCCATTCTAAGGAAGTCGTTTTATGCGGGGAATACGCCCCAGCATTTTATGATGTTCCCCATTTCTCATGCGGGTCATGGCATTCCTGTTATCAATTCAATTAAAGCAACATACACTATTAGATACATATCATGGTATTCCTGGTACTAAATCAATCAATCTCGCATAGCTGACCGCTGCATTTCCATCCGCTGTGCAGTTCTACCCGCGAACAGCATTGACGATGCAAGATTCCTCGAGGGTTTGAGGGGAGGCGAGTACCTTGGATCGGTGAATGAGGTATATCTCGTGTACTATGCATTTCTTAGTACCCCCACGGCTAAAGGCATTGATATTGTTTTGGACGATTCAGAGTTAAGGAGTTTCTAAACTATGCTGTTTGGGTGGCTTCTACATGATACCAATAAAGCGAGTCGACCTTCTTTGGTCCAACCCCCTTACTTGAAGGGATTGGGCCCTCCGTTTGTGGTCAATGAGCACTCTATCGGCATGGCGGCAATAATCGCCCTTGCATCTAGCACCCGAGCCGAAGTTACATACATCAAACCCCATTAGCCAAAGATCGTTGTCCGCCTTAGTATCTAACATGTGTGTTGAATTATATACGATTCACCGCCGTTCTATGTGGACAGTGCTCCCATTTGTTCAGTATATCGGTTTTGAGTGTTTTAAATTTAAACGTGTATGCCCACAAAAATATACAATGGTAGTTTTCGAGGCAAGAGCTGGAGCTACCTCGCTACTGCAAAGCCTCCTTAACTATGCTTTTGGATGTCTAATCCCAATCCCTTGGGGAAACAAAATTTGGATCATAGTCTAGATTAAGCTTCAGAATACAACACCATTTAATCTTTCATGTCTTCTCTGAGCTTATTTTTGTTGTGGTCACAGCATATTATGTCGAGGCTGGCTCAGTCAATATACCTTTTAATCGTGTTATTCACATATTTGCATGTATCGTTTTACAACTAGCTATCATCTAACAAATAACTACACAAAACACTTGAAGCAGCTGCTGGGAGCTCTCTAACGGCATCTCGGTACCGGTGGCTTATCTGATATAGGAAAACACCAAATGCACAACATCTTCATTGCAAGCCACCCCTCTCTTCTTTGCATTCCACTCTTCACTTACCCCCACGTCGTTCATTTCCTCGATTTTCAGTTTTCAGCTTCAAAATTTCCCTTCTCTTCTAGTTCTAGACCGTTCAATGTAGATCCTGTCCCCGCACTTGAAGATTGCCCCCATCGGGAGGTTGCAATTGTTACAGAGGCTAGCAGTTACATCTTCATCCGCGCCCAATGAAATGAGAATACATGTATCGACATTTATTCAAACCTGCTAATCACCGATCGCCACAATGCAATGATATAAGCAATAATCCGCCAATGCCATTAACTTCGATCCTACTTTCGTCTCGCCAGTGTTTCCAGTTGCAACATAATCAAAACATCAACAACAATACATATCCATTCTAACCATCCGCCAGTTTGTACCCAAACGATTCAACAGTGCCTGGTCTGCCAAAACACACATTGCACAGCGAATATCTCTGGGAGCTAGGATTCGTATTCAAATTGTAGATCAAATCACATACAGAACATGTTTATCTATCTTATCTAACTAACACAACAGCTCAATGACAATCTAAATACAATGTAGGTTTCAATCTATCTAGTTCCAAGTCCACAAACCAGAAGGTTTAATCATCATCTATCAAAGTAACGCTGTGTATTTACAGGATAGCTCGTTCAGCGTCTATCTCATTGAAGATCCCATCCCATTCTAGCCAAACAGCCATCTTGATTTCCAATCTCGGTTTTCCACACATGCACAGCGTGTTACTACATATACATATATATATCCACATGTGCATGGGTACTGCAACTATACACACAGTAAAGATAAAAGACAGTGCGTACCTATCGCGTCACAAAACTGCAGAAAGGAGAAAGAATCCTCAAACGAGTACCAAGAAATGGGATGCATGCAATACTGCAAGGTACAGGTATTTGACGACGAAACGGTCATGATGCAGCTTTGATAACAAGTTATTTCTCCTGAAGATTTTCAATGCCGGCCGGTCTATGTTGTGGTCCCGGCAGTAGGTGCCAGGATGGTCTTTTGCCCAATCATAAACCCCTTCATCAATGCAACCTTTCTTCAACGACCTCCATCTAACCCCCAGTCAAACCAATCATACTCACTCACCCCCTCCCCTTTTCCATATCGGGCACTACGACACTACCTGCACCGCATCCATCCAGCTCCCCTACCACAAAACCCATCTCATCTCTCCTCTCTTCGCACATTACCACACCATTCCATGCACAAGATGGAAATATATGGCATGGCTTGCATCACTACAATCAAAAGTGCAAACAAATTGCATGAACATTTATTTGCACTACACACAACACTCGCACACCACTCACATATATTCACCATACATAGACACATACATGACCATAAATCTAGCGCCTCTCTCGAATAACGCCAAGAAATTAATTATCCTGCCAAACAATGCCACAGTGTATACCAACCAATATACCGACCAATATACATACATACATACAGCCCATGAAGAAGTAACACCAAAACCAGCAATCAACGTTGCCTATGATTCAAGTACAAGTATACATACATACATACATACATATCTACAACATCTACGCACATACATACAGCGGAATAGACATCCGAATACCACGTCGGAGCTTCGTAGGCATAATAATCCGAAGCAATGGAACGGGAGAATAATACATACCTAGATAGATCCATACTAGAGGAAGATCATCATATATTGTAATACTGTTATATGTCAGGATTAAATATACTAAAGAATATTTTCAATATCTGCTTGCTCTGTACAGTGACTGTGTTGTTCGAATATTTATGGCCGTGCTACATATGTCTTGTCGATTGATTAGAACTAGGTACCTACCTACAACGGTACATAACTAACCCCCGCCACGTTATTTTACTCCCGTCTATCCATTCTTTCATTCATCTTATCTATCTATCTATCCATCTATCTGCTTCTGCATACATGCATACAAATATGTAGGATTACTAATCGTGAATTTTTTATACATACAGTGTACTCTATGATGTTGCACTCATTTATAGGTAGGTATCCTTACTCCATAGATTTCATCCATACCTAGTATACATATCCAAATTAAGACATTATAAATCTATAAAATTTCCTCTCGGTTTCGTATACTATATTATACTAGGTATTTATCATATCATAAATACCACCCAAACACCACCCTCAAAGAATAATCAATAATCTACAAATAACACCGGAGAGATGACTCCGAAAATCCTCTCACTCGCTATTCTTCTTTCTCTGCGCTCTTTTGCTTGTGATTATTATATCATGATTATTAATAAATAAATAAATAAATAAAATATTTTAAATTTTGAAGATTATATTTTAATTTTTAATTATTCTATATAATCATACCGATGTTACGAGGTTTGCCGTCTAGATCACGTGGAAGTGCTCTAGGCTCTCAAGGTGGTTTATAACTAGGCGTCAAGCAGGGACTTAAAGTAATGACAATAATGCAATTCGTAACTAATAGTAGAGTATACTAAATGATTGATCTTGAGCACGAAGCTCTATACAAAGGAAATCCATCTTGATTATATAGACCCTCGTGCCGTATGTCCCACCGTTCCCCTCGATTTAAATCGGTGGGACGAGTGGTACCACGTGACCCCTTGTTTAGTCATGTGATACGGGTTTTAGTCATAACTGAATACCGTCGTAACAACCGAGTAATTAAGTATAAAATAATCATAACCAAAAATACGATTTAAGCTAATTCATTAATATATATATAATCTTATATCTATATCTATCTATATATTAATATATTTTTCCCTGTTAATTTTGCTACAGTATATCCTAGCTTCTACTACCTAGTCCTCTCTCCCCCCCTTTGCCCTCCTCCTCTCTTTCATCCCTCCCCTCATCCCTCCCTCCAAACCTCACCTCCCCCAAAAGCGAGCTCCCTCCACACTCTCAATATTCTTTCAAAGTCTCAACACGCTGAAACAAGCTACATAAGATTACATACAACCAGCCAGCCAAT